CAAAGGAGGCCACACCACCAAGGAGTAATGACACAGTCAGCAGCACAAGGAATAATGCACCAGAGTGGTGGGAAACCTGCACCATCCTCACCTCCTCCCAATGCCAGCTGCTTGCATACCAGGCCCTGGCTCTAACTCACCACCATAGCTTGGCTGCTGCAATACAACTTTCATAAATCATGAGCTGCTTTATTAATTTGGAACTCCCAGCTAAGTTCTGCTTCTAGCTAGACCACTTTATGGAGGACAGTGGGGGTAGAATTGCCACTAAGATGCTTCTATCCAATATAACTACATCTCTGTTTTCTACACGTAAAAAGTGTAAGCTATACCACTGAAACTTTAAATAAGAACAAAACAAAGATACAGCAGCACATGTAACCATTAAATAGAACAGGTTAAACCATCAGAATTGAATCCCACTGTAACAGTTATGTCTGTCCTGTCCCAGTGAAGATTCATCCGCCAGAAAAGTAGTTACATCTCTAGGATGGCTCTTCCAAAACCAAAGAATGGGATAAAAGTCATAGATTAAAATCTCAAAAATATTCCCTTGAAATGGGCCTTTGTTCAACAAGAAGTCTTTTAACTGAGAAGAAAATCTGGCCAACCTATGTCCTTCATTTACAGGAAGGATAATCAAAAGAATTCAGGATCCTTACTGAAAAAGCTGGTCAAACACATTTTTCTGGAATGGAAAACTACTTTTGTTCCTTAAAATTGTATAGGCATGCCAATACCAATTATAATTTAACAGCTAATCTCTCTTTCAGAAAATTAAATAGTCTGAACATCCATCAGAGCATTACTATACATTTGCTATCATAAATTTAAATAGTAGATGATTCAGAAGTTGAGAAAAATAGAAGAGGAATATTATACTATATTATATTATACTATATATCCCCAAGCATAGTGCTTCCAGATGTTTACACTTCAGTATCTCAAAATATAAAGCAAGCTAAACAATTTCTGTTTTGTGGATTACATGAGTATCCCTATCATTACGTGGTACAATGGTATAAGGATACCATTGCTCAAGGACTACTCAATTACTTTCCAACTGATGCAGGTGGATATTTTAATAAAAATAATTTTTGCTAATTTGCATCCCTTTGCCTATCACGTTGGCCAGAATATTATGTTTCTAACAAAGACCCCTCATTATAGCCTGTATTGTACATTTTAGAAAGATGATCATACATGCAGTTAACCTTACTAGTTTTACAAAAGCAATGGTAATTGGCTGATGAAACATTCTACCATGATGTAAGAGCTAAAATTGCCCTAGCCCCAACATTGCGCCTGCCCCCATAGCAGCCTCAGGCTCCTGATCCCCCTTCCCGTCATGTTGCTTCTTTCCGCCACAGACTCAGGTTCTTGCCTGCCCCACAGCTTCCTCCTGTCTCACCCTCCCCAAAGTCTTTAACCCTTGCCTGACCCTGCAGCCCCCTTACTTTTGCTCTGCGCCAGCAGGTTCCTTCCCTGCTGCAGCCTGAAGGCACTGAGCATCGCTCCAACTCAGACCTGTAGCAGCGGCACGGAGTTGGCACTGCTGCTACAGGGCTAGACTGGCACATAAAGACTGCGCTCCAGACTGCAGCGAGGATGGAGCCTTCCAGTGTGGAGCAAAGTTAAGGAGGAATGCGGCAGAGGGGGAGAAGTGGTGTTGGAGGTAACCTGGGGCTTGAGGCTGCGCAAGAGGCGTGGCAGAGGGTGCAGAGGCTGGGTGGGGGTAGGCAGTACCTGTGGCTTCAGCCGTGGCCCCAGCCCTGACCCAGACCCAGTTTCCCCTCCACCATTTCATACTCGATTGTAAGGTGAGGGACTTCTCCCCACCACCAGTCAAATGGGGGAAAAAACCCTTGTCTTCTAATCAAGCAAATATGATAGCATATCTGAATAATGAGCACGATAAAGAATACCTGGTAATTTGGATTTTCTATCATAGGTGGTTTCCATTTGCCTTTATAATTTGGATTATTCATCATAGGACGCACCCACTCTCCACAACCAGGTGCAGTCTCACATTTTGGATTAGGAATCTGTGGGGCTTCCCATTCACCATCCATTTCTTCATCCCTGCAGAAAGAAATAAGCAACTGACATTTATAAAGCTTCCACTAACAGGTTGATCTTAAGTCCAGTATCTAAACCACAATCAGAGCCTACATGTTTTGCAATACCAGAGGCAGAGACGATCCGAGCAGGGTGTGGGGCCCAGGGCAAATCAGCCTGCGTGGGGCCCCACCCCAGACGTGAGGAAGCTGGTGGCAGTTTCGGCAGCAGAGGGTGGTGCTAAGCGGCCGGATGTGAAGTCGGCAGCAGTATGGAGTTGCCATGGCTGCTCTGTCTGGTCCCGCAGGGCCCCTCAAAGCGTGGGGCCTGGGGTGGTCGCCCTGATTTGCCACCCCTCCCCACCAGGGATGGCCCCAATCAGAGGGTCAGAATTTTCCCCAATTCTTGCCAAAGAACAGCACTGCATGATACGCTCTTGTTTTAAAAAGTGCTGCTTTTACAGTTATTTGCAAAGAAAAATTTAAAAATATAACATCTGGTGTGAAACTATTTCTGTGTCTGTAGAAAGTCTGCAGCATTGCTGTAGTCTAGAGTCCAGTGGGAAATGTCCTAGTCATTATTTCAGTTGGATGACAATTCAAATGTCAATTTTGTTAAATATTTCAATTGCTTATTGTTTTAGCAGACAAGAGTAGCTAATATGCTTTTCTTACAGTCCTGAATTGCTACCTATAGTTGCCCAAAGCCCTGAATATCTTCTCTTACCTAGCAACCAAAGCCTCTGGCCTTTCCAGTGACCATTTTTATAATGCAGTTATATAATGGGAATACAAATTTATACAGAACATTGAAAATAACCTGTGAGTACATCATAAAATACATTCAATATCAAAATAATAGGATTAATGCACAAGTTACACTTATCATTTACATACATTTTAAGAAATAAGGCCAAATAAACATTTTAACATACCTCAGAATTTTTAATTTATTGCATCCAAGAGGACACCAGAATCTGGACTTAAATTCTGTTCCCTGGTCCCTAATTTGCCACAGAATGTCTGAGGCTTTATCTATAATACCTCTGAAAAAAAGATCTGCACAGATTGAATAAGTTCTTACCAATCTTCTGGTTTTTCTGCATTGGGATCTGAAATATACTCTGGCTCATCATCAAGCCATCCCTCAGGCTTGACTGCATCAGTATCTTCCATTTTGGCAGGTTCATCTTCATCCCTTTAATTACAGACTGATATTATTAGAAGAAAAGGTAACTGTCTAGTTTAGAATTACAGTTTTGTTCAAAGGAACACAGCTAACATGAAGCCAGTCGAAGAAGAATCAGGCACACAAATCATTGCAGTTTGGTATGTAGCTCCCCTCTGCATCTTAGAATATCCAAAGGAGCTAGTTTCAAGATACTACAACAGCCCCAAACCAATGTTATGAACTTGCAGTTTCAGAATAAATTTTTCTTACGCTTTTCTCTTACTGCAAGACACAATCTTCCAATTAAAGAAAATGATTACAGTAGAAACCATGGAATTGGCTAGACATAAATAACTGTCAAATGCATAATGTAATATTGCAAACCCACAAAAAATTAATAAACGGCTTATATTTGTACAGAAAAATGGAATATATTTTCGCACCAATCATCTGGTTTGACAGCACTGGGGTCAGGAATCTTTGCTCTCTCATCCCAATCATCAGGCTTTTTATCATTGGGATCTTCTATTTCTTGTGGAGGGTTTACTGGAGGAACCAAATCTTCAAGCAAACTTCCTTTGCTGACAACTGTTTGGTCAATTGACATTTCAAATGTATCATCTGGTTTCAGCACTAAAATTACAACAAATATGTTAAACAGAAATGAAATAAAGGAATTGTGCATTCTGAGAAAATTTTTGCTTAAAAGGTATAGGTAGATGCATGCACACACAACCTCATAAACAGCAAATAATACACACATTCTGAATTGTTTCCTGAGATACTTCAAGAATACTTTTATCACCAGTTTTGCACATTTAGTCTCTCCCCCACCATTTATTTAGTATTCAATGTATTTGTTTTCTCTACCAAATAACTTTCATTGAATTTCTCCCAAAAATGAACTCAAGATACATTGTTAATAAAGTACAAGTTAGGCAAAAATATTTAATCTGTTTTGGCCTTTCACAATAGTCATGCCCTGTTTTGTCTCACACCACTGTAGAGTCAGCTGTTCAAAAGCTATAAATTGCCACTTGATCATGCACAATCAGTGAGGCAGTGGTCAGTGGTCCTGTGCAAAAACAAAGTATGTAATGTATTAATCATAATTGGTATCATAGTGCATACTCACAAGGTGACTGAATTAAGGTTGCACATTAATTCTGACATTTATTTACTTTTTTGTGTAAACTCTAGGGTTGTTTTTTTTTAAGCAAACTGAAAAATCTCATAATGTGGCATTGTACCAACAACTGCATGGAATCATTAGCAGGAGCAGGAACTTTAGATTCAGTGCCTATATGTCTGCCACTCGAGCCAACCACCTGGCTTCTAGTCAGTTCTCCACACACACATACTTCTCTCAGAACCAGAATATTAATTTTCCTTCACAATTCCTTCTCTGAATTTCAGTCTCCCATCCAATTCCTTATCCCAAACTAGTCCTTAACCTTCCCTGCAGTTCAGGTTCCATGTCTTGTTCCCTTTGTATTTGAGACTTCCTTCTCCCTGTTGATTGGGCTCAACAGAGGGGCAGTAAGAGCACAAGAGTATCTCCATACTTAGTTTGGGTGCCTGGACCTGGATCTAGCACATCTCTCAGAATCCTAAAACTATAAAATGAGAGAAGATGCTGTTCCACCCCAAGGTAGAACATGCCCAAAGCAGACTAAATATTCAGGGAATTTAGCTGCTAACATTTAAGACAATCTCTGAGTTTGTGCAGTTTTTCACCCCCACTACCCACCACCACAAAACCACCTCCTGCTACCAAATTTCAACCACTATTTGAAAAAACAAGGGGCAAAAAACAAGATTTGTACCAACTCTCATTCTCTGATACAACTGAAATTTTCCCAAAAAACAGTTCACAGCAGTGCTGGCACTAGGCATAGAAAATTATGCCCACAGACTTAAGCAGCCAAAAACTTAGTTTTAAGAAATGGGAAGTATTAGGCAGCTTGACTAGGCAATGCTACCAGCCCAACCTGGGTGTCAGAAATTCATAAATAAAACACTGAACACTAAACATGTTAAAACAACCATTCCAGTGCATAACTATACAAGTAGCATGACACAAAATACTACTCTAAAACAGGTCTGTTTTTTATTATTCTTATTTTGATCTCCAGTTTCTATAGTATCACAGAAAAGCAAGATTGGAAGGTCCTCAGGAGGTCACTGAGCCTAACCATGGCTCAAAAGAGAATCCCCTGTCTAAGCCGTCCCAGCTGTCTGTCTAACTTGCTTTTAAAACCTTCTAAGGATGGAGATTCTACAGCCTCCCTAGGCAGCCTGTTCCTATGCTTAACTACCATCACAGTAATAGAGTTATTCCTACTATCCAACCTAAATTGCCTTTGTAGCAATCCAAGACCACTATTCCTTGTCCTTTCCTGATGAAACAAAGACTAGTTTATTATCCTCTTTATAACCACCCTTCAAAAACGGACACAGTACCTCCAGGCAAGGTCTCACTCATGCCAAACGGAGTAGAAGAATCTATAACTAGGTTTGGCAAGATGGCCAGTTGGCTGGTCAAATAATGTTAATTAACTGTAGTCAAAAATGACAAATATTCCATGAACCAAGAATGCCCTTGTGTGGGTGGCAGCCTATGCTTTTTACTGCATTGTACTGTTCTCTATTAACAATGTAAGGAGTGAAGGCTCTGTCCCTTGGTTCTGCAGGAGTCAGACCATTTAGGAGCAGGCACAATAACATTTAACTCACTTTTTTTTTCTAATTAGCTTAAGTATCTAACATTCTGAAGCTAAAGTCTCTCTTTACTATTCTAATAAATTAATGCTTAAAATACCTGACCATTATTTGACAATATTTGACCATTTTTGACTGGTCAGTTGACCAAGTACTTTTGACCAGTCAAATACTCAAACCTACTATACAGTATAAATGAATTAAATTTAGACATCTGTCAAATGCAGTTTTTACTAGCTGCAAAACTAGATTTAATAAACAATTCTGAAAGTCAAAAAATAAACTTGCTCCTGCATGCCAGCTGTTTACTATAAAAAATATATTATTTTAGCTGTGTTGTCAATCACATGTATAACATTAGAACAGGGGTGGGCAATTATTTTGGCTAGAGGGCCACTTAACGAGTTTTGGTGAGCTGTCAAGGGTCACACATGTAAAGTCCTCTAGAACCTATGGTTTTAACAAATTATAGATAAGAGACAAATCATATACTATGAATCAAACACCTATTATAACATATTTGAATTTTATTCTTTAAAATAATTTCTGTCCTGATTCTGAGTTGTGTATAGTTTCATAGTTTCTAGGGTCGGAAGGGACCTGAGCAGATCATCTAGTCTGACCCCCTGTCATGGCAGGAAGAGCACTGGGGTCAAATGACCCCAATAAGGTGGTCATCCAACCTCCTCTTAAAAACCCCCAGGGTGGGAGCCTGCACCACCTCACATGGAAGCTGGTTCCAGACCCTA